AGCAGTTGTTGACCGGGTGGGGGTGGAGCAGTTGTTGACTGGGTGGGGGTGGAGCAGTTGTTGACCGGGTGGGGGTGGAGCAGTTGTTGACCGGGTGGGGGTGGGGGTGGGGTTTAGGATGCGTGAGAGAAGCGGAGCATGGGTCAGACTTCATGTTGTGCTGTGCTCTCTGAAATAGTTATTGAACCAAGTGTTTACTTATGGAGGTAAACGTAGATGTTTAACAACCTGTTAAAATACACCAGAATGCAGGAAATGGCGTGTACTTCATTCTAAGTTTTATGGGGGAGGACCCCAGACAGTGTGCCCCCCAGCCACATTACAAATGCTTCTGACGTCAGTGCGCAGGTACATGCAGAAGGTCGTGAGGATCCTTGAAATTCAGTAGTAAAAATGACGTTCTTTTACTATGATGCAGCACTGAAACATTTTGTGACATGCTTTCTGTCTGTCAGATTTGCATACCATCTACGACAGTGGCAGATCGAGGGGACGGGAATCAGCAGCCATCTGAAGGCTCTGAGTGAGAAACAGTCTTTGCCGCTCAGGATCGTGTGTCAGCCCGCCGGCCTGCCAGACAAGGTGACGCATTTCATCTACCTACCACAACTACGAGTCTGCACTCAGGAAGTCCAGCCTACATGAACATTTAACAGATCTCAAAGAGAAGAAACCATAAAGCTGCATTGTTATTGTTTCAAACCAAATGTAATCAGTGGTTTTAATACAAAAGTTGACCAACACTTTAGTTGCAACTGATCAGTCACCCTCTCATCCTGAGCAGTATTTTGTGCACGCTGCCGGAGTCAAATCCAGAACAGTGAGGGAGCATCTGTACAAACTGCGTCCGAGTTCAACGCTGGTTGTTACCACACCATACCATTTTATTTATAGAGCACTTAAAACAGCAACAAGGCCAACCAAAGAGCTGTACAGACAGAACAACAGGTTGTTGGAGAAACAGAAAATATAGCCACTGCTCTGAGCCTACAGCAACGAGCTGCGCTCAGCACCACATGCACACGAATGGCTTTTAAAGAAGTGAGCGCAGCTCTTTTCTGAACAGTTTTTCTTAAAACATTGACTTAGCGTGAAAAACAGTTTGTTTTGTGTTGGATAAATCATCCATCCATCCAACCATTATCTTTACCCGCTTCTTCCTTTTCGGGTCACGTGGGTCACTGGTGCCCATATCCAGCCATCACTGTGTGAAAGGCAGGGGACACCCTGGACATGTCTCCAGTCCATCACAGGGACACATGGAGACAAACGAGACAAACAACCATTCACTCTCTCTCTCACACCTGGAGACTATTTAGAGTTACCAATCAGCCTAACATACTGTACATGTTTTTGGTCTGTGGGAAGAAACCCACACATGCACAGAGAACATGCAACTCCACCCAGAAGGGCCCCCGGCTGGGATTTGAACCAGCAACCTTCTAGCTGAGAGGCAGCAGCTCTACCAACTTCTCCACTGTGCTGCCCTGGATAAATATGGAACAATATAACTTTAAATGTTTTTCTTTAAAATGTTATAATAAAGTCACCTCAACAAACCCTACCTTGCCATTTGGCCTGCTACCTGAGGGCCCCCCCATTAACAAGCATGTGCTTTCCTGTCTGTTTCTTAGAGGGCTATTGTTTATTTTTAAAAGACAAAAGAAACTGTTGGCATTTATTTTATTTTCTGTGGTATCGAAATGTGCGCCTCCTACCGAGGAATGTCCTGAACAGTGACTTATGCATATCGTTACAACCCTGGTTCCCCCTTTGACGGCGGTACCACTTGTGCTTTATTATGCAGGAGTACACTTTATAAATGAAGATGGGGTTTGGACAAGTCGTTTTTTAACAATTATTGTTTATCACCAGTCTGGCTTTTAGACGTGGACATTCAGAGCTGTAGCCACAGATGTGTAGGTGTCAAAATACAGCTCCACCTCTCTAGAATTTAGAGGAAATTTATCACGCAGTTTTTGAAAATGTTCTAAACTCCAGCACCAAGGCTGTGAACTGCTGCGACTCACACAAGGAAATTAAGAACATTCTTGAGCATTTCAAGACGGCTTGGAAATTTCCTTTCAAATCCTGTTCGCATCTAATCACTAATAGTTGCAGCTCATTGAAACATTACATTATTTAACGTAACCCTGGTCCTTTGATAACAGAGTGAGGTGTTTCACTATGGGAAACATTCCAGCATGACCAACTACGGAAGCTCCAACGACATCACGTCTGTCTGAGGCAGACTGGTTGAGCTGTACTCAGGGCTCCAACCCATCATACCACCACAGTCAACCAACCACTTCCTACTCATTCTAGGACGTTTTTTTTCCATGACCATGCAAGGAGGGAAGTGTTGGTGGAACACTCTGTTATCAAAGAACCAGGGTAACGTTAAGTAACCTGTTCTTTTTCTAACTTTGTTCGGTGTTTCACTACGGGAGATATAGCCCACTCCCGTATTGCAAGAAAGCCCTGAAGCCAACCACTATCCTGAACACAGACAAAGAAGGTTGTGAAGATCTGGTGTCCAGAATTGTATGAGCTAGGGATGGCTGAGCCACATTCAGCCTGTACAAACGCAAACATATGCAGTGTGGCCCAGCTAACTGCTGCACAAATATATTGAACATGTACCACTCAAAACGGCCCATGATGTGGCCATGCTCCTGGTAGAATGGGCTTTCAGACCAGTCGAGGGGCTCTGTACCCCTACATCTGTCTCCACAATACAGTGTGCCAACCTCTGGAATGACACTTGTTTCCTTTTATGAGTCGAAGCCCAAGAAACAAACGACTGGTCTGACTTCCAGGAGGTGGATGGAAAGCTAACACTCTACTGAACAACATCTGTACACAGAATCCATCACGTTAGGCACAAAAGCTGGATTGGGCCTCAGACGCACCTTAGAGAACCCAGGTGCCCACTGCAAACAGGAAGGGCTGATAAAGCGTGTAAATCACTCACCCTTTTGGCTGTGGTTAACGCTAAAAGCAGGGCGGTCTTAAAATAAAGAAATTTCATCCCTGTCCCATCCACAGGCTCAAAGTTATGATTACAGAGGGCTTCCAGCACCAGTGAGAGATCCCACAATGGTACCAGAGGCCTAGCATGTTAGGCTGCCTTCAGGCCCAGGCCTCCCTGCAAAAGAGATCTGTGATCTCAATGGGATTTTCCTGGTTAAATAAAGGTTAATAAATGGAGACCCGCAGCTTACGTCGTGCCCCCTTCATGAAGCGACATACTGAAGGGTGCTGTCCAACAGATTTGTTGCCAAATCCAATGTGACGAATTGAAATAGCTGCCATATCAACTTTGATAGTGGATAAAGCCTTCCATTTTTCCAGTAGGCTCTGTAGAAAACAGAGCACATCTACGAGAGAGCACTGGAAGGGAATGACCTTCTCTCCATACACCATTTTTCAAAAACTTGCCATTTACCCCTGTACAAATAACGTGTAGATGGCCCTCGCACTTTGAATTGTGTTAATGACCTCTGGGGGGAGGCCATCAAGATCTAAATTCTACCTTTCGCTGACCGGCCCAGTGAGCTATACGGTCTGTGTGGGGGTGATGGATTTCTCTCCTGTCTTCGGACAGAAGGTCCCTGTGAGCAGGAAGAGGCCATGGTTCCCCTGACAGCATCTGGATGATCTCTGCCACCATGGGGCCACCAAAATCAAAACCAGCCCTGTTCTCCCACTCTGCTCATTGTGGGAGAAATCAGGCTGGGAGGTGGGAACACGCAGAGCAACACATTTGGCCACGGGTGAGCTAGAGCATCTACCCCTAGTGGAGCATCTGCATCTGACGGAGAGAAAAACAGCAGGCAGGGGGTGTTTTCTCATGAGGCGAGGATGGAGTCACCACTCCCTACACTGCAGGTTGCTCCTGGACAATAGATCCCTGCCGCATGGGTCATGAACTGACAGGAGTCTGATGCTGTTCCACTGGATGACCTCCCGAGCCAGTCATTGTAGCTGTTGGTATTGTGTCCCGCCCTGACAGTTTATGTAGGCTACTACCGTCGAGTTGTCTATCTTCACTAAGACATGACGGTCCTTTAGATGGGGCAGAAAATGCTTTAACCTAGGAAAACTGCATGCAGTTCCAGCACATTTATGTGGAGAAGTGACTTTTTCTGTGACCACACACCGTTCACTACTCTGCCCATCATTGTGGCCCCCATCCTCTCAGGGATGCATCCGTTATGATGGTGACCCTGGATGTTACTGCTTGCAGCTGAGCCCCAGTGTTGAAAACCACTGGGTCCCTCTGTGGATGCATAGCCATCATAAATGTTGAAGATACTTTCTTTCGGCGACGTAAATGGCGACGGGGGCATAAACTCAGTAATGCAACCCTTCTTTGAAAATCCCTCATCATTAGAAGCCCCAGATTTACCACCGTAATTACTGAGGCCGGTAGCCCGAGCAGACGCAGACAAAGTCTGAATGAAACTACTCTCCCCAGCTGGAAGCGTGCGATGCACTGGAAGAAGATGTGATTCTTCTCTCTGACAGCATCACGTGATATGAGAGGGAGTCTATTTGCAGACCCAAATATTCTGCCTCTTGTTTGGGTACTAAGCAGCTCTTTGTCCAGTTTATTCTGAATCCCAGGTCTGTTTATTACTGCCTGAGTCGCTCGTCGCCTGTGCCCGCGTCCGGGAACATATCAGATAATCGTCTATACGAGAGGATTATGATGCCGCGCACCCTCAGTGGGGCCAGCATTGCTTCCACACACTTACTGAACACCCGCGGAGCTAACAGAAGTCCAAACGGAATTGTTTGAAATTCGTGTCCTGAAAGGCAAACCTGAGAAATTTCTTATGTCACGGATAAATGGCAATATGAAAATAAGCGTTTGCCAGGTCGATCGTTACAAACCAGTCTGCTGGACGGATGGACTGACAGAGTGTCGTGTGTTAATATTCTGAATGTATTTCTATGTAAATGTCTGTTTAGCACACGCAGATCTAAAATGGGACGGAGCGAAGTACCGTCCTTCTTTGGAATCAGAAAGTAGCGAGAATAGAAGCCCTGGTGAGCTTCCTCGTTCAGTATTACTCTGATCGCTTGTTTGCTTAAAAGAGATGCGATCTCTTCCTCCAGAACGTGTGCTAAATCTCCGCTGGCTACAGAAAGAACAACACCGTTGAATCTGGGCGGCTTCATGTTGAACTGAAGTCTGTACCCCTGGGCAATTGTGGTCATAACCCATGGTGGAACGGTGCATGCACACCAATTTCCCATTTGCTCCGAGGGCAGTCCTCCTGCGTCGCAGAGTTATGTCACCCTTGTGTTGCAACTGCGCTCTGCTCTTTCCTTTTCCTCTGTTGGGCACGAGCTTATACAAAGTTTTCTCTTTTGGTTTATCTATTTTTGTAGGGTGCATTCTGCCCTTAGCAATGTGCCTGGCTGCATAAATGCATTCTTTGTTTTTATTGTTTCCCCCTGAACAAAATGAGGCATTTGGGGGCACCGGTGAGTGTTTGGTAACACTGAACGCACTTGTTCAGTGTTACCAGAGTGTGTGATGCTGATCTTGGTGACACTGTGTTTTCTGCCTCACAGTCTCCTCTCTCTGAACATGAGAGATCTTGTCATTCCCCGATCTGTTACAGACGAACAATCCGTAGTGTAGCTCATTTGCACATGCGCAAAAAGATCGCCGTTGAATATGCAAGATTAAGAAAAATGTACTGGAAATATCCTGTAAGATGATGTAATACAACACATATTAATAAAATATATTTATGAAACATACCATATTTATTAATATTAATTAAAATATCTATTTCTATAAATTTATTAATTTTCCTAGACAATGTTATAATTCCATTTATGAATAAGAACTATCTTAATTTACTTAAAAAAGTATGATCTTCATGTTGCTAATTTACGCCACTCGTGTTTCCGTTAAAATTATTAACATAGTTACGTTCTAGAATTGTTCTAGAATTGCGCCGCTCAAGGTGGCTGCATGTTGGAGCAGCTCTGTTACTTTCATTCTGATTTACTGCTTTTGAAAACTTTAATTCCTGTTTTTTTCTGGATGTAAATCACAAATTGGCAACGAGGTATTTTTTTTAACAATGTAGAAAGAGTTCACTACAACAACAAGGAGATTAACATCTCAAAAGCTCAAATATCTCATCTACAGTCCCAAATCACACGAGTTGAAAAGGAGGTGCCATGGACAAATTCCCGTCAACCTGGCGGCGGTGCTAGAGTACCTGACCACAGAGATCCTGTAGCTGGTGAGAAACTTGGCTCGTGAGGAGCTCTGCAGACTGCTAGGAGGAGTGACCATCGCTCAGGGAGGAATTCTGTCCGGCCTTCGGGCAATCCTGCTGCTCAGGAGGACCGAGAAGCCCGCCGGATCTGACAGCAAGATGGATCTGGGTGGACGGATCGGTATCTGTGGCCAGATTCTTCGGCTTCACTGCAGAAGATCCTTCCTGCCCACAGCTATCAGCATCTATAACAACTCTTGAATGAAACCAGGATGATGAGCTACGACAACACTTAATTTCCCTCTGGGATTAATAAAGTATTTTTGAACTTAAACTTGAACTTGAACGTCATTGGTTAACACGATATGCAACGGGCTGAATGAGAAAAACCGCAACATACAGAATTAATTATTTTCATGGTGAAACAGCGCCACTCAGTGGTGAAACTGTGCTACATCATCCTAAAAAATGTATTTACCCTAAATATGCGTCACATATCACTTCAACCAGTGATGTAAATATGTCAATGATTTTAACGGAAATACGAGTGGCGTAAATTAGCAACATGAAGATAGTACTTTTCTAAGTAAATTACCAGTGATCCGTGCGACCCGGAAGAATAACTTTTAGCGCATGCGCAAATGAGCTGACACTACGGATCGGCTTTCGTAACAGATCAGGGAATGACGGGTCTGAACAAACAGTACTTCTGCTGAACTGGGACCTACAAGAGTGTGTGAACATGGGCAGGTTCCCTCTTCTGCCCATTTTCTCCTTTTCACTGGAGGTGGAAAAGAGGTGATATGCCACTGAGGGCTCCACTGCTGGGGGTTTGGTCAGCCCCAACTCATCCATCCATCCTTGGAGAGAAGCCTGCTCCTAAAATGGCTGGACCAGTAACGGCTCATTTCCCTCATACAAGCTGGGAAAGCTGGTAAACACTGTTTGATTGGTGTGGAGGCTGGTGGGAGCCTCTTACCATCATACAGGTCTTCTGTTGTTCCCACTGCATCCTGAGTGCAAGGCCAAGAAATGTTCATCTTCGACGCTGCACTTCTGCAGACATCATACAGGTCACTGTCCACCGGTGGGGCGGGAAAGTGGAGTCATCCTCCTCTTCCTCCATGTCGAGGAGGTCGGGGCTAGCATCACACTCCATCTCCTCTTGACTGGTTTCAAAGTCCCCTCCGTCCACCAGTCCTTTGAAGATTGGCAACATGATCAGGGACTCGGCTTCCGCCCAGCTTGTGGTGGCTCGGGGCTGATGGCCGTCAACTGTTACTGTGGTTTCGGACAGGCGCAGGTCCTGGCTGTTCTACTACCACACTTAGCCTCCTCTCTAGGATTTTTAGCGAGGCTAAAAAACAGCTCTTTGTAACAGCTGGAAAGCAAAACCCTGAAGGTACCAAGCTAATGCTATCTCTAAGAAAAGCTAGCTCGCCTTGACTCGTTAGCTTGAGTTACACCTGTAACTTAAAAATGTACTTAAAACCAGAGACGCATCTGAGCTGCGCACTGTTTGTACAGACGGTTTTTGTGTGGGGGGTGTTCAGCACGAGGGAAGAGGCAGCGAGCGTGCTGCCTTTAGCTTTATAGCTAGCACGCTTGTATTGTGCGCCGCTAGCTTAGTGCTACATCAGTGCCGACGGGGGTGGGGTGGGTGTGGTGCATGCAGTTTGGTTCGGTAGGCGCTGCTTGTATAATTGTAGGGGAAACACTGCCCTTTATTTTTTACAGTTCTCATGCAGTTTATACATGTAAACGTCTGCATTGTGTTATCAAAGGTTTTACAAAGTAAAGTCCAAAATTACTGTTTAGTTTCATCGCGGAAAGTTGATTTGTTGGAATTTCAAGCTGCATTCTGCACTTTAACTCAAGATGACCACCACAGCTAATCCACCTTAGTGAACACAAACGTCTGCATTCTGCAAACTAAAACTGGCAACAACAAAAAAAATGCATTGGCACTCGTTTAGATTTCCACAAAGAACTAATTTTTAATTGTGCAAATCGTTTTCTTTTATAGTAATGGTTTCAGCCTCCGTTTCTATGCTATTGTTTTGCAGATGACTATTGAGATGTACCCCAGTGACCAGGTTGCTGACCTGCGGGCCGAGGTGACCCACTGGTATGAAAACCTGCAGAAGGAGCAGATGAACCAGCAGGCTCAGCTGCAGGAGTTTGGTCAGAGCAGCCGGCAGACAGGAGACTGCCCAGGTCAGTTATTTCTTTTAGTTTTTACTTCAGAGGGAGTAACTCGAGTTAAACAGATTTGACACAGTCATTTATTTGTGTCAGAAGTATCACCTGTCTCTTGCAGGGGGTTTAATGGGACCTGTCAGAATGATCTCCTCTGGTCATGAGCTCACTACAGACTATGATGAGAAGACGCTGCATGAGCTGGGATTTAAAGACATGCAGGTGACTCTTTTTCCACATCTCATCTGAGGAAATACATTAAAATGAGAAGGTTCTGGTCACAGTTGAACACCACAGGTGACTCATCACTACGTCATGTATGTGTGTTCAATCACAGATGGTGTTTGTCTCTTTGGGAGCTCCACGGAGGGAGAGGAAGGGGGAGGGCGTCCAGCTGCCGGCCTCTTGTCTGCCTCCTCCTCAGAAGGAGCACATTCCCATGCTGCTGCTCCTCCAGGAGCCCCATCTCACCACTCTCTTTGACCTGCTGGAGATGCTGGCCTGCTTCAAACCACCCAGCCCCAACACGGAGAAGGTGCAGGAGAGCCCAGAGGTGAGAGGCAGAGATTGTAACTTGATGGGACTGTGAGCTCAGACGCACTGAAAACATGGCTTTATTGTCTCTAAACCCCAGTATAATAGAAATGTATTTTTAATCCAGAGTTTGCGCTGTGAGGAGCTCCACCTCCATGCAGAGAATTTGTCTCGTCGGGTTTGGGAGCTGCTGATGCTCCTTCCTACATGTCCCAAGATGCTGCAGGCTTTTCAGAACATCTCAGATGAAACGGTCAGTCACTGGCTCAACAAACACGTTCTACAAGTTTGTTGTGGAATAAAGCAAACACTGAACTTCTAAATTATTTTTGTTGTAGAATGAAGAAGGCTTGTGCTGGAAGGAGCTGCTGAGGATTAAAAGTCCTCACAAGCTGCTGTATGCTCTGGAAATCATCGAGGCTCTGGGCAAACCCAACCGACAGATCCACAGAGAGTCATCTGTGAGAGACACGCAACACAAAGCTTTTTTAAAATCATTAGTTACTTAATACCCTGGTTAGTTCATAACAGTGACGTGTTTCACTGTGGGGAAACACTCCAGAGCAGGGGTGCCCAGTACGTCGATCGCCATCTACCGGTCGATCACAAAGGCATTATGGGTAGATCGCATGGCATTAAAAAAGTAGGCGTCAGCCTATCATCCATTCTCACTATGAAATTTGTCACTTGATTGACATACGGGGCAGCCAGTCCCAGCCCTCATTCTCTCAATCCAGGTCTCAGAGTGGAGGTTTTCGGGGGAGCACCCCACCTCAACCAAAGGTGTGAAATTCTTTGTGTGTGAATTTGCACATGCTCACTCCAGGCGGCTGCAGTCCAAAGTTTTCTGCACTAACAACAGTTATAATAAACGTCAGAGAGCAGAGTGTTTTTCATCAGTTTAGACTAACTGATCATGCAGACACTTCATGCTCAATGAATGCAGCTGAGCCCTGCATCAGGGTTGCCAGATAAATTTAAAATGTCTTGTTTACTCCCTCCTTTTCTGTGCACGTGTTCAACAAACACAACATATGACAGTTGAGGTCAAAATACTATAAGTTTAAAGCCACAGTACTATAGTTCATAATTTCTTATTTGGCAACCCAACTGACATGGAAACTACAACGTTTTTGTGTAAACCCACTCATTTTTTGTTTATTAACTCCAATAAACATTGAAAAAACACTTAACGTTTCCAGAGGTTGTTCTCGTGTAAACGGGATCTTATAGCAGGTAGATCACTTTGACTTGGTCATTTTAAAAGGAGCTCGCATGCTGAAAAAGTGTGGGCACCCTTGCTCCAGAGGGACCAACTATGGAAGCTTCAACATCACATCTGTCTGAGACAGACTGGTTGAGCAGGGCTCTGCCCCCATTATGATCCCATAGTCAACCGACCACCTTCTACTCATTCTAGGACAGTTTCATTCCATGTCCAGGCAAGCAGGGAAGTGTTGGTGAAACACTCACTCTGTTATCAAAGAACCAGGGCTACTTTTAAATCACCCAACAGTCTTTTTCTAACTTGGCTCGGTGTTTCACTATGGGAGATATAGCCCACTCCCGTATTGCATTTGGTAAAGCCCCAAAGCCAACAACTATTCTGAACTTGGACTAAGAGGGCTCTGAAGTTCTGGAATTCAGTATTGCATAAGCTAGGGATGACTGAGCCACATTCAGCTTGTAAAAGCGCACAAACTTCTGCGGTGTGGCCCAGCTAGCTGAAGCACAAATATCCTGGACAGATACCCCTCAAGGTAGGGCCCATAATTTGTTCCTGCTCCTAGTAGAATGGGCTTTCAGACCAGTCGGGGGGCACTGTACCCTTACATCTCTGTAACAGAGACTAATTTTCTCCACAATCCAATATGCTAGCGTCTGGCATGAGACTCCACACATTCGTCAGCCTCGAGTGTGGAGCCAGGAAAGTGGAGTCATCCTCCTCTTCCTCAATGTCATCCATATTGAAGAGGTCAGAGTTAGCATCAGCTTCGGCCTCCTCCTGACCTGGTTCAAATTTCCCTTTGTCCACCAGCCCTTTGATGGCTGTTACCTGTTACCATGGTTATGGACAGGCACAGATCCTGGCTGTTTGCGACTGCCACTCTCAGCCTCCTTCCTAGGACTTTTTTCTGGCATGAAGGAGCAGTGCGGGCACGCCTGAGTATTTGCCAGTGAGCCTTGCGGGTGCCCGTGAGTACCATGCACATAGGATGAGGGTCCTTGCCTAAGATGGAAGCCCCTCATGACGCAGGCGGGATACAGCCTCCTTGCCATTAGGTTCCAACCCTTTGGTTGGGATGGGTGCCACAGCCATAGTGAGCGATGGGAATTTAGCTCATTGTGACACGTTAACGGTCTGTCACTAGCGCTAGCCATGGGGTTAAAACCAAGCAAACTAGCTAGAGCAGCTTGTTGTAACATGTTTGATGGGAACAATTCTTAAAGGTAAAAAAAAATGGGGAGTGGTGGCGCAGAGGTTAGAGAGGTGGGCCTGTGATCCGAAGATCGCCGGTTCACGCCCCGGACCCGACAATATCAAAAATGTGGGTGGGGTAGGTGAAGCACCCACACTTGCCCCCACCCTCGTTCGCCCCACTCTGGGCCCATGAGCAAGGCCCTTAACCCCCCATCTGCTCCCTAAACAGGTCTCTCTTGAAAATGAGTTCTCATGGCTCAATGAGACTACCTGGATAAATAAAGGCTAAATGAAAAAAAAAAATTCTGAAAGGTACTAAGCTAATGCCACCACGAAGGAATGGTAGCTTGCCTTTACGCATCAGCTTGAGTTACACCTGCAACCACTCAGTTACTTAAAACTGAGCAGCAGCAGGAACAGCTCGCCTTGACGCTGCTGTAACAAAGATCCTTCTCCCAAAGCACCAACCTACTTAACACAATTCAAGCTGAAGCCAGGAACTGCGTTTGGTGACGTGCTCCTTTACCGGACACCTGCCTGAATGCGCTGAGGGAGCTAGTTGTAGTTTCTTATGGGAAGAAAGCAAGTATTTGTAGGAAGTGGTTGGTTGACCACAGCATCATCATGGAGCGGAGCCTTGAGCACAGCTCAACTGGTCTGTCTCAGATAGATGTGATGTCAATGGAGCTTCCATAGTTGGTCATGCTGGAGTGTTTCCCTTAGTGAAACACCAAACAAAGGTAGAAAACGGCCTCTGTTTCTTTTTTTTTATTTATTATTTAATTTACTTGCTTGTTTGTTTGGGGAATAAATTATGATTATCAAGAAGTGCTTTGTAGTTCTATTTCATCCCTAATGACCGCCAAAGCGTCGTGCTGAAAGCACTGAATGTTCCCTTCGCTCATGCGCCATTCGAGTAGTAATACCAACATAGTCACAGCTGTGACACATGAGATGATTAATCAGAGGCTATATAGCCTGACGTCATCCGAGCCTCTGTTCTGCTTTTCTTCTTGCGTGCAGTTCGTTTAGCATGGCATCAGCCTTTTTGGTCTTGGATCATTTCAACGTCGTCAGAAGCCCGATTGCTTGTTGGCTGGAGTAGCAGTGTATTGCCCTCCTAGGGGCTGCGACAGACTGATCTTCATTCAAGATATTTCTGCTGGTTCTTAGATGACAGTGTTTGCGCCTCCGCTCCCAACTCACGGCATCTGACTACTGTGTTAGTGTGTTGTGATACACATGCTGATTACCACTGGAGCTTAGCTAATGGGTTAGCCTCTCTAAGTTTGTTGTTTTGCTTTAATCTGCGACGGTAGCATCTCACTCTCTCCCAATTGTAGTCAACCTCATAATCGGTTTTGGATTGAGCTAGCGATGTTAGCCTGTCTGTTTGTTGTTTTGCTTTAATTGGTGACATTAACGTCTTGCCCCTTCTCCAAAATTTAGCCAACCTCACAATCAGTTTTGGATTGAGCTAACGGTGTTAGCCTCTATAAGTTTGTTTACTTTAATTGGTGACGGTAGCATCTTGCCCCCTCTCCCAATTTGGGCGGCTGTGGCTGAGTGGTTAGAGCAGTCGTCCTCCAATGCAAGAGTTGGGGGTTTGAATCCACCAGCAGTCACATGCTCAAGTGTCCCTGGGCAACTTTGATATCACTGACATAGTGTCCCTCACACCTCACCAGCAGGTCACTGGATTCACTGAGGTTAGGGTTGATGTAGACTTCTGTACCTCTGTGGCTCTTCCTGAATCTTCTCTGTGGTTCTCTGGGGTTTAGGGCTCTGATCATCTCCCTAATTGACATGAGAACAAAACATCAACAATAACATTGTCGTGTTATTTTTGATCAAAAAACATTATTTAGGCTGAGAGATAAAAGTTTAACTGATCAACAACTTCCTTTACAGCTTAACTTACCTCCACCATGCAGCCTCCACTGTAGAAAAATGCAGCAAACTTTTTACAACAAAGTTTGTGACTGTTCTGTGGCCCCCACCTCGCTTTTCTTTTGTCTGTCTGTCCTCCTCACATCAGGGTCAGAGGCTCCTGTGAGGAGAACATTAACATAAACAGTGAACATTAGTGAACTGTTTAAGCAGCTGACTGGATGGATGAGCACAGTTTTACAAGCTAAGCTTCATCTGTTACTGTCAATCTTTAGTTAGCTTCTGAGTTTAGCTAGCTACATAGATAAAATATCTTTACACACTAATATCTTAAAGTTAGTGTTACATGGATCATAGTTTAATTCACCGCAATGTACGTGTTAAGCTGCAGTAACGTTAACAAACATAAACTCACCAGCTGAAACACAGACACAGCTCCATCCTTGGGAGTTCTTTGATGAAGAGGAGTCAGGCCGTGGAGATGTTGATTCAGTCCATTTAACACACACAGACTGACTTTAATGCTGAGAGGAAGAGGGCCGACTGTTGTCCTTCTCTCTTCTTGCAGAAAAACACAGAGAAACTTTCTGCTCATAAGCAGAAAGTTGCGTGTGTTGTCGAACAGCTTCGACAACACACGCAACTTTCTGTACGCAACTTTGGTACGGCAGCTCTATACAGCTCTGGGTGTAAACACGTAGTCTGTTTGTCGTATGGCTGGTGTTTTACCTGCCTGCGTGCTGAAACCACGTGACACGTTACAGCCAATACCGAAACTTGACACTGAAAAAAGAGTGACGTTTCAATCCATCTGAATGGGTCAATGAGAGCACAGATTGTAGTGTAAAGAGCTTTGAGTATCTCGATAAGACAGAAAGGCGCTATATAAATAACCACAAGGCTCAGTCTTAGGACCCACCCTCTTTATAATCTACATACGTAATGTAGGTAAAATCTTCCCTGATGCATCCATACATTTCTATGCTGATGACACAGTTGTTTATTGTTGAGCTAAATCTGTTGCTAAGGCTTTCCAGCTTTTGAAATCTGCATTCAACTACATCCAGACAGATTTGTTCCGCCTCAAACTTGTCCTAAATGCCGACAAAACCAAAGGGATGCTTTTTTCCAAACATGAAGTTGGTCCCA